TACATAACGCGTCTAATTTAATATATATTATAAATTATAATAATTTTAATCGAAACGCAATGGCAGTAAATAAAACATTATTTAATTCTTTAAAAAAACTTACGGATTATGTCGATCAGGATCGGGACTCATTCTCCAGTTTTGAAATTGGATCACGGCGTTCCTGACACAGTCCAGGTTTCCTAGGAGACACACCCGCCACAATAAAGCGAATCGGGTGTAAATTGTCAACTGAGAATCCGTCGGCTTTTCTTTAAATCCGATCTCGTGATAAAGTTTTTCCGTTAAATCAAGCATGTAATTCTGTAAAGAAGAAACTTTTTACAGATATGCAAGCGTATCAATATAATTCAATACATTCTTTTTTAAGCTCAAATATATACGTTCAACCTAAGCTTTCAGAGTGGAAATTATTCGAATAATTTGCTAATATCAATGATAAAAAGTGTATTAAATTTAAACTTTCTTTTCTTTATAAATTTATAAAATATATAAAGCAAACGTACATTATCTAGAACTGCTTCATTAGTATCAGGGACGTATGAAATGCATCTATTAGTTCAGAGACCTATCATAAATACGTAACCAACATTTCATCAATTTTTGACCCCCCCCCCTCCCCCCACTATAACTGCCCCTCTCTCCACTCAAATGTTTTTCAATTTCCAATAATAATTCAATTTCAAATAAATTCTGAAATCCACCACCAGGTAACTATTGTCCACCCCCCCTCCCCCAAATTTACGCTACGTCAATGAAATGGCACTAGCCATTATAATATTTGATATATGGTTAATAAGAATAAAGATTACTGAACTATTAAGATCGTCGGCCTAATTACAGACCTTATATCGTCCTTATTCGCAAATGTACGTAAATAAGCAAAGGATTAAATATGATTTTATCTGTCTACCCCTAAATAAAATTCCATCTACACCCTTACGCTTAATTATAATTTATAACGTCACTATTGCCTTACCTTGTAGTGTTCAAAGTCCGCAGTACGAATGACCATTTCTTCAATATATTCCAGTGCTGTTAGGGCAGCTTTCCATGGTACGTAGTCCTTTTCGTGCTTGAGATACACCGTAATGTTCAGAGCTAAGTCGTAATCTAAATCCCCCGAGACCGCCAAGTTCATTACGTCGTCGAGAATTTGTGCCCTGTTCGCTGTCGGAATTTTAACGTACTCCTTTTCATTCATAAGCTGCGACAACAGCAGTTCCCAATTTCTCTTGTCGTAATTTACCCTGTAGTAACCCGTCTGATTGACATTGACCTAAAAGAGAACAACAAACCAAAAAAGTAAGGGCACATCTAATTAGTCGGTAATTAAATGATAAATCAATTAGTTATAAGTAAAAGAAAATATGCGACTATTCCAAAAAAATGAGAATTTTAAAAATCATCCTTGCAGTTTCATCAAACAGAGATAAGTATAACAATGGTAAAAAGTAAATACGATTTCTTAAAACTTCATCTTACATAAAATTGAACCATCGCCATTTCGACTTGTTTCAATAAATATAATTCGCAACGTTTATTATGAGAGCTGTTTACTATCAAAGTCAAAAAAATAAACTTTTTGGTTGTAAAAAATTTATAAATTCATACCAAAAGCCAATCCTCAGGGTACTTGTCTTTTAAAACAATTTCGGGTTCCGCACGGAGCCAAGCTGACCTCATAACATCGTCAGTTTTATATTCATAAGTGAGGGGAATCCACCACTTCGATCCATTACTGGTATCATTAGAATAAAGTCTGTTGTCAATGAAAAATCTTCTTTGTTTACAGGTAAACCGTTTGTTTTTGTAATCTCTCTCGACAGTAACTATCGGGAATCCAGTTTGCAGAGTCCACGTGTCCATTATTTCTTTGACGGTGGTGTTTAAGTCCAAAACTTTGCTCTCGTGGGCTTCTAAAGTCAACGCTGCCCACAGATCGTCTTGCTCGGCATTACCAAAAAGCCTGAAAATATTATAAATACGAAAAAGACAAAATTTCAGAATAAAAGCAAGATATATATATATATTTCACGAAATCGTTTACCTCGCTTTAAGATATTTCGTCAAACCTCTTTGAAATACTTCTGTTGTGAGAAAATTGTCCATCATCCGGATAATTGTGGCTCCTGAAA